CCCCTACCCCCCTACCCCACCCCATAGCCTCGTTTAGTTTGCTTTGGAGATGATCCGCAGCCATTCTCATTCCGGCGGGAGACAACTTTTGAAAATGGCACCACTTTTGCACCATGTGATTGCGGCAAGAAAAACACAAATAATGTGTTTTCGGTGATGCTGCCAGACGGGAAAGTGCCTCACCGCGTTCCATCTGACTCACCCGATGTCTCATTTGCGTCTCGGCAGCAAAACCAACCCACCCCCACACCAATCCCCCTTGCAAAAAAAAAAAAAATGCAGCAGACTAATTTGTGCCTCCTAGAGAATCTTGTCATTACTCCAGCGGCGTTAGTGCCCATCCTCCCAATCTATTCCTCATGCTGACGGCCCGTTAAGCTTTAGCTAAACAGAACGTGGGGGGCGCACGGGTGAAAATTGGCCAGCAAACCTGAAGCCTTATCTCGGTGGCCATCATTTGCTCATTACCGTCAGGCAGTTGTCAACTTTGGACGATGGGAGATTTCGATGAGGCGATTCCTTTGTCTGCATTAGGATCAGAGCGCGAAAAGCAAAATGACAGATAGGCTGATTTCGTGCACACATCATCAACTAGCTTTGAGGAGGCCAAACCTGTTATTCACCTCCTCGCTATTGATTATCTTCTTTCGACTGTGCTTATATCCGTATTCCCGGTCGCCGAGGATGGATTACTTTGATTCCCGCGAGAGGCTCCGGCGGTCTTGACGGGATAATCGATGTATAAACAAGGACGGGGGTTGAGGGATCAAACCCGGGATAAAGGCGGCCGAGTGACGGACTGCCATGCTCAAAGATTAGAGGCGAGAGGGCCCCCACTCCAATCAGTCTACATCTCGTCTTATCTTTGCGCCGCATCTCTTTTTTTGGTCGTATTTTCCGGGCTGAAAAAGCCTCTTCTCCATCAAACGCAATCCCGCCAGAGTGATCGTGACACCGCAATGGGCAGCAGCCGCTCTCCAAACGAACGTTATTATTTTTCATCAGCTTTGAACTCCGTTCCTGTTCCGGGAGCGGGATTAGCACAAACCTTGGTGCAGGCTGACTGCTCCTCGACTCTTCTGAAATGTCGGCGTGATCGGTTGTTTCAGTTTCACCTGTAGATTAAATTTGAAAAAGGAATTAGCCACAGTCAAACACACTTTGCGGTATGGCGCGTCGTCATCTGTCACAGCATCATTTACAACACACTTGGTGAAGTCAAAACATCTGTCGGATTCAGTTCAACTGTTTAAAGAGTGTGGACCTCTGCCGAGGCCGAAGGAACCTGAGCATGTTCGACAATCCGGCTTTCGTGCTTGGTGGAGGTCAAAGGTCACGAGTGCTCCCAAGGATAACCAGAATAAATAAAAGGTATTTCAAACTCTGATTCAGCTGTGACTACCTGAGTCACAGGGCAAATGTTGCCATTGTCCGGCAGAAGAGGCCATTAGTTTGTGAAAAGCGACCGATCAATTGCAAAGTCACACACTGGGTAACGCGCCGAAAGAATTTGCCTCACATGAAGTGGCTTTTTTTTTTTTTTTTTTCCTCAGGGCTTCGAGCGCAAACTCTCACGCCGTAGCTCCACAGCAGTCGTAAACCTTAAGAAATAATGCACAGTAAGCTCTTTTCAAAAGGATGCGTTGTAGCCAGGGGGGCCGCCATGACTTCACGACAAACGGCTCCCTGTGGCACTCGCTTTCTCTCCCTCTGTTTTTTTTTTTTTTAGTCCCCACTTTGCAATGTTACCTTGAGACTTGCAGGCCTGAGAGTCCACAAAGCCTGCGAGGATTACGGTAGCAAATCCTCCGGGGCTGAATCTTGACAAAGACGTGCTTAATACTACCGCAAAGACAAAATACTCTTGAATCAAGCTAGCACTTCAAATCTGTCAGAAACCAGGGTACCGCCATCACCTTTGAACATTGCGTATCGTCAAAAACGTGGGTACAGTAGGAGTCACTGGATGAAAAAGTCGAGTCCGTTGGACGTGAGGTGCCTATTGCCTCACCTGCGCAGCAGAGTGCGGCGAAGCATTTTTTCTTCGGTCCTGCGAATCTTCCTCCTTCATCACTCTTCCTTGAATCGGGAGCCACCCGCTTTTCACCGGCGCAACATCACTGAGTTGGGACTGCTCCTTTTTGGGCGTCTGCGAAATATGAACCCTTTCCAGACTCCCCCAGCGCCCCACGGGGACAAAGAACTCACTTTGGAGGGACTCCCGGCTGCCCGCAGAACTTCTCGCCAAATTGCCGCAGGACGACGAGACCCCGCTGAAGGAGGGAGTCCGGTACGGTCTTTCATGGCTTGGTTCTCTCCTATGGTTGTCGCCCTGCATTCTGTGGAGTTGCTGAATCCAGCCGTCCAACTGGCTGCCCTCGATGGCGCTCTGAGGCCGAGCGGCTCGTCGGGAGAACCGGGAGAAACTTTCCCCCTTGGAGCTCTGCGTCTCGCACCGGGACTCATCTCCGGATCTCCTCCAGCCCATCGGCAGGTGAGCAGCTGGCCTTCGGAGAGTCATCCGTTCAGCGGCTCAGGTAACGACGCCAAGGTCTCCGGTTTCAGGCTGTGATCAAAGACTTTTACAGCGGAGGCAACCCGTGCTCAAGTCGAGCACGTGTCACTTGTGTATATCGATACTTACCGCAAGTGGACACTCTTTTTATTTCGCTCGCGCCCAACTTTGGATGTTAGATGTACATGGCCTTCAGTCAACGAGATGCCACAGGGCGCCGTCTCCAGTCAAGGCATGTAGTGTGAGGGATGCTCAGCCAAACAAAGGCGTTACTGAGCACAAGGGAGGGAGATGGGAAGATCCAAGAAGGGGGGTGGGGGTGGTTTGAGGAGAAAACAAACACTTGTTGATCCCAGAACAAACCAAATAATGATTTTGTAACACTTTTTTTGAAACCGTCAATCTGTGTTCTCATGAAACATTTGGATTGCCAGATATGCCACATGAAGATAACGTCCCATATGAGATGATTATAAATGTTATGCTATGATTTCCTAACAGCAAAAAAAAATGCACCCCCCACCCCCCATCTTTGTAGACTCCCCTCCATTTGGGCCCGTCCCAGGGATCTTGTGATCGGCAGATGATGATGAGGCTCGTTTGTCCTGGAGCTTCTGTCTGTACCATGTGACCCTCGCAAGGCTGTCGGAAGAGTCAACAGGGATGCACGTGGCGCGCCTCAGTGCATGAAAGGTTGACGGAGTCAAGATTATCTTCAAAAAAAAACCAAAATCCAAGAAATTGTTTTTCACTTTGATGTGTCATGAAATTTGTTGCTTCACAAGGGACCGAAAGAGCATTGCAAATTTTCCAGAGGGCACTTTTGTTTCTTTGTACATGTTTGGGAATGTCAGTGTCATGTCAAAAGAGCTGATGTAGCAAAAGTAAAACAATAACATAAAACAACATTAAAAAAAAAAGGTTTTTCATTATCACTCATAAACTTCACTTTAAAAGATGGCTCTCATTGCACCAATAACTACGTGATATAAAATAATCTCACAGTAAAACAGTAAGAAATTGTCATTTTCATAGACACGTTCGGTATAGGTGCGTTTTATAATGACTTTTGGTGGTGTGAATATATTTTACTGCTTTAATTAATCTCCTCTCGTATATTAACCACCGTAAAGCTGTTGTCTTTGCATGTTTTCTCTCCTCCCAACAGTGCATAAAGCTTGTATATTGTTTTACGAGGGAATACAAACACCCCAAAAAACATTAGCCATCTGGGGTGTGGGCGAGGCGGGAGGTGCATAATTGAGAGAGCCCTCACACAGCATGAGAACGTAATGTGCGCATAAACAGCAAATGAACACTGGCGATGTGGTGGAGTACCTTAAAACCGCACAATTTAATCGCACACTGTATTTGTCTACCAACAGTTGGGGATTTTTATGTCTCGTGATCATTGTTCCACAATAAACTACAAAACCGTTTGTTGAGAAACTTTGGCCCGTGGTAGAAGAATTTATTACAGTTTCAAGATTTTTAATTGAAGAATAACAACAACAACAAATCAATAAATCAGGCATATGCAGATGATGGGTAACAATAAGGTGAACGTTTGTTTATCTTCTTTAGGTTTGGATATTTTTATACTTGGCCCGGTACAGCCTTTTGTGACAGAATTTTTAAAATGCAATACAATATATGTCATTAAAGTGATGATTTAATAAGAAAGCAGGGGCCTGCTAAATGTGTGTACACCACATAAATTGTGCCTGGTGACAGGTGAGCGGCTAAAATATATCCAAGTGATTCTATTGCCCTACGTTGCTACACCTACTTTTCAGAGGTCTAGGGAATTTTGAATTCATACAATGTTTTCACGCCCTTAAATTATTGGCTGACCATCCATTTGTTTGAATATAAAACCACCCTACTTAACCCTATCACACTGTTAAATTTTGAAGTGCACCTCAAATTCTGCCTAGCAACAAGTGAGAAAACCTTCACGTTGAAAGATTAGAGTGATTCAATTGGTCTATATGCTACACCTGCTCGCACGCTAAAATGTGATTTCAGATGTTTAAATAAGATAATTTATGAATAAATATACATTTACGTTACAACCCATACATTATTGATGTACCATAGATTTGATTCAATATAAAACATTCATAAATATTACCAAGTTTCAGTGAAGTGATTGAAAATGGTTGCACCTCAAAGTCTGCCTATCAACAAGAGGCAATCTGATGAAAAGCGACTCCATTGGTCTACGTTACCTGCTGGATCGCTTATGTTTTTTCCGATTAAGAGAATTTTGAAAAAAATATAGACTTTAATATGTTAGAACCCCCTGAAATTAATGGAGAACTGTAGATTTGTTTTTATAATAAAACAACAATTCATAGGTATTACACTTACGTGCGTGATTGATTCGTTGACCGCATGACCAAACCAATTTCCGGTGATGCTGTTGAATGGAGTCAAATGGAGTGATGTGTGCTTGATGACACATAAATTATGAAATATTCCACTAGTTTTCGCCGCTTGGTGCTTTTAGGATCCCTGCCGGCTGGGTAGAAAAAAAAAAGTTTTGAAAAAGTTCCCGTGGTTCCCCCTAGTGGAAGAGTCAGCGGCGGAAAAAAAAACATGGCGACCCGGAGTAGCTGCTCAACTCTCTGCGGAAAGTGAGGCAAAAGTCGGGCGTTTTGCGAGCGAAGAGGTCTCGGTTGGGAGGCCTCGTGGAAACGGGGGAAGGAGGTCGGAGGATGTCTCGTTGGGTGCCCACCAAGAAGGAAAAGTACGGCGTTGGTAAGTACAAATCAAAAGCAGCAACTCCATCGTTAGCGCCGTTTAGCTCTCACGTTGAACAAGTTTGGGAAGGGAGGGGAACAGAAGGGACGGTGAAGATTTGATTCAATATAAAACATTCATAAATATTACCAAGTTTCAGTGAAGTGATTGAAAATGGTTGCACCTCAAAGTCTGCCTATCAACAAGAGGCAATCTGATGAAAAGCGACTCCATTGGTCTACGTTACCTGCTGGATCGCTTATGTTTTTTCCGATTAAGAGAATTTTGAAAAAAATATAGACTTTAATATGTTAGAACCCCCTGAAATTAATGGAGAACTGTAGATTTGTTTTTATAATAAAACAACAATTCATAGGTATTACACTTACGTGCGTGATTGATTCGTTGACCGCATGACCAAACCAATTTCCGGTGATGCTGTTGAATGGAGTCAAATGGAGTGATGTGTGCTTGATGACACATAAATTATGAAATATTCCACTAGTTTTCGCCGCTTGGTGCTTTTAGGATCCCTGCCGGCTGGGTAGAAAAAAAAAAGTTTTGAAAAAGTTCCCGTGGTTCCCCCTAGTGGAAGAGTCAGCGGCGGAAAAAAAAACATGGCGACCCGGAGTAGCTGCTCAACTCTCTGCGGAAAGTGAGGCAAAAGTCGGGCGTTTTGCGAGCGAAGAGGTCTCGGTTGGGAGGCCTCGTGGAAACGGGGGAAGGAGGTCGGAGGATGTCTCGTTGGGTGCCCACCAAGAAGGAAAAGTACGGCGTTGGTAAGTACAAATCAAAAGCAGCAACTCCATCGTTAGCGCCGTTTAGCTCTCACGTTGAACAAGTTTGGGAAGGGAGGGGAACAGAAGGGACGGTGAAGCCGAACACGACCGCTACTCTGCGGCTTCTCCTTCCAGTTCGGAGACTGTGTGAGTGCGCTTTGGGGATGGACTTTGGCAGCGCGTTTTGAAGCGGAATGACTGAAAACGAGTCTGCTTTTGCGCGGTGAAGACGCTGGGAATTGTTCCGAGGCGCGCCTCGGCTGCTGTTTCCTGTGCGGACGGACGAGAGGGGCCTGAATCACGACCTCGCTCCGCTTCCAAACTCTTCCACTTAAGCTTTGCGGAGGCAACTTTTTACAATGCAAACTTTGGCTCATTTCTGCTTTTTTTACTACGTCTCTTTGATAATTGAGCGGTCTGACTTCACTGTTCCACTTTTTACTTCACGTCCCTCGACAAGGTAGTTGTGTTGTTCCGTCCATGCTAATGTGATCAATCACTCCAGGATTAGCTAAATACCTGGGATGTGTCACAAATGACATTCTAAATCAGGGGAGTCCAAACCTCTTCGTTTGCGGGCTGCATACAAAAAAATGGAAGGAGGAAAGGGCCACTTTAAAATTCGTCATCTTTTTGAAACACACTGAAGTCGGTGAAGAATGTATCTCATCATTGATTTGCACGTTATTCAGCATTTCATATAAATCAGCATTTTGTCCACTTTTATACCCACAAATTAGTGATGAAAAGTGTCTGTCATCAGTATCCACTGATTCTCTTCCAATATCAACAGTACAGTAATAATTTATTCATGGTTACGTTTAAAGGAGTAATGATTATGTTGGGTAATTGAGCAGCACGCAGAAATAAATATCCTGCAGTAACTGTCTCATGATAATTACCTTGACTTAATTTAAAAAATATGAACATTCAGGGGAAAAAAATGTTCTGGAAGTGAATTCCTGTAGGTTAGCATCTCTGAGTCGGTATTGGTTGGCAGTCTCACCGTTGAAAGATTGGATTAGTGTTTCCGATTGGCGGTTGCGGTTGTCTGCCCCGCAGACGGCGCTCATTTGGAACAGCCGGTGACACAGCCGAGCGATGTTCTGTTCCCCCCGCCTCTCGTTGAGACCGTAAGTCACAAGTCGCACTTCACCCAAGGCAAACAATCTTAGGTGCGGGCGGCTGCCAAATATGTTAGTAATTAAAACCTTACTGCGACAGTTCGAGCCATGCGTCTTAAATCATCAGCTTTGACCTGTTTCTCATGACGGATGTGACGTTTGCCCTCCTCTCACTGTCCGTTCCAGGTCCAATAAATATGGGGAAGGCTGTCTCGGCGTCCCACATTTCACCGTGATGCCCGTTACTGTTTGCGACCGCCTTTGAGACACTTCTTCTTTTATCATGACACCACCGCGGTTGGTAATAGTGCAATAATAGGATTTTGGAGGGACGTGAATGAGGAAAAATTGTAGCTCTCACTCACTAACAAGAGCACGGGCTCAGGGGTCATTTCACTTTGCCCGCACTCACGACTTCCCAAAAAAAGCAGCTCATACTACTGTTTTTTGTTTTTTTTTTAAACCGTGGTATACCTTCAAACTAATAACCGACCCATGGCTATTCCCAGAAGGAGGAGGATGCATCAGGTCTTTAACTCCTGGGCGACTTGTCTCCCGGTTCCATGTCTGTGCCGTTTTTACAGAGCAGTGACTTTGACAGGTGGCGTCAAGGGGGCTTAACTTTGGGGCGACTCAAGAGACTGGCTAGAACAATTCTCCTTTTGGACAAAGGCTGCCAAAGATGCAGTGGAACCTGTGTGGCAGTGTATCACGCTCCCCCCTCCGCTCCCCTGCCGGTATTGATCCAAACAGCCCTCGCATTGTCTGCCGAGGTGCCCCCGCCGCGCTTCCATTGCCGACTTGACAGATGGTCCAATGGCGTGCGCGGTGTCGGTGTGAAACGCAGTTCAACCACGTCGACCGGCATCATTACATAATTTAGACGGCCTTGGTGACAATAATGCAGCCGAGCCGCCCGACTGTCAACTTCTATTAGGCGGCTGGTGGCGTGAAAGTGGAAGCCCCACCAGCCCCCAAGTTTCGCCTGATACTCTCTTTTTTTATTTTCTTTGCCAAGAACTGACAAAAAAATGTCACCTTGGAAAACCACAGAAAAAAAGTTTCAC